ACTTTGGGAGGTCAAGGCAGGCCGATCATCTGAGATCAGGAGTTCGAGACCAACCTGGCCAACATGGTAAAACCCCGTCTCTACAAAAATACAAAAATTATCCAGGTGCATGCCTGGAGTCCCAGCTACTTGGGAGGCTGAGGCAGGAGAATCACTTGAACCCAGGAAGCAGAGGTTGCAGTGAGCCGAGATCACACCACTGCACCCCAGCCCGGGCAACAAAGTGAGACTGTCTAAAAAAAAAAAAAAAGAGGCCGGGCGCGGTGGCTCACGCCTGTAATCCCAGCACTTTGGGAGGCCGAGGAGGGTGGATCACGAGGTCAGGAGATCGAGACCATCCTGGCGAACACAGTGAAACCCCGTCTCTACTAAAAATACAAAAAAAATTAGCCGGGCATGGTGGCGGGCACCTATAGTCCCAGCTTCTAGGGAGGCTGAGGCAAGAGAATGGTGTGAACCCGGGAGGCGGCAGAGCTTGCAGTGAGCAGAGATTGTGCCACCGCACTCCAGCCTGGGTGACAGAGTGAGACTCCGTCTCAAAAAAAAAAAAAAAAGAGAGAGAGAGAGAGAGAAGAAAAATTAGGGAACTGGATGTTGCTTGTGGGAAAATAATGAGTGGTTTGGAACCCTCCTCCCAAAAAAACTCCTCAGGTCTTCATCCTCTGGCCCCCATCTTCCTAAATCGACCTACTCTACTGTTCCTCACATCCAGAAACACCCGCCTGGCATTCCCAGCAGCGACCCTGAGGACAAAATAAGCGAGATCTCCTTATATCTGAGCATCCAAGGACTGGGGAAAGTGCTAGTTACGAACACCAAGTCACACACAGCTCATCACCCAGTTCTCAGGACTTCCCCACCCTTCCTTTCCGCCCTCAAGAAATGGCAAATGGCTGCTTTGGGAGTGACCAAATCTCTGGAATTTCTCCCACAGCATACTCTTTCCGCACTCTGCCCTATAAACTCATTTCCACAATCCAGCCCTGCACATAAGGGAGGCATTATTGAGTGGCCTGAAGCTTACAAAATCTTTCACTGGCTTTGTTTTTTAAAGAGTTAAAAAAAAAAAAATAGCTCTCTTGATTTTTGTTGCTTTCCCCCCCGCCCAAAAATGCAAAGATTTGCTTGTGAGTGAGAATGTATAAGAAATTAACAATCTGGAAATGTCCAATTCAGGGAATGAGAAATGTATCACCACAATAGATGTTTGAATTACAACTAGCATGTTTTGCACACCATCTATGTGCCATGAGTAATTTAAATACAAATCACATTTAAACAAGTTCAACTAAATCATAAAAGTGAATGTGGCTCGCTCTTTGAAGGATTTGCTGAGAGCACCAGCTTTGGTGTTCGGCACACCTGCACTCCAATCCAGGCTTTGCACATAGTAGGTTGTCACTTCTCAGAAAGGACTTCCTGGTTGTCCTTTGTCAAATAAGTACATTGAGACGTTACAGCGGTAGTCAGAGACTTAACTAGGCTGTGCATAAATGCAGCTAATATTACCTAAGTGTTTACTATATGCAAATGCTTTGCCTGAATTAACTCATTTAATCCTCAAACAACCGTAAAAGCAGAAGTGTGTTATTTTTATAAAAATGTAATTATTATTTAGATGCTAATAAAACATAAGCTCCAGGACCCCTCACTTGTGCAAGCCTCTAAAACTGAGTGGTATTTGTGGTGCCTGTCAGATTGTCAAAATGTGTAATATGTTGTGCTTTCTTTATCATTCTAAATAAATGGTCCTTTTAGCACCTAATTTTGTAGTCATAATTTGATACTTTTTTCCTTCAAGAGGGTCCTGCAAATTGTGTACTTTACTCTCCTCCCAAAGCCTAGATCCACCCCTGCCTATGCAGTAGGAATTATTAACAATTTTGTCTTGCAGATGATGAAACTGAGGCTCAGAGAGGTTAAGTGACTTGCCCAGGTACACACAGCCTGTAAGTGATGAGGCCCAGATTAGAACCCAAGCAGTCTGGCACCACATGGAGTGCTCAATCAGAAAACATTATTGCCTCTTATTATTTTCACATAAAGCTCCTAGCAAGCTCCCCGAGACACTGGCATGTTACAGATACTCAATAACTGGTGGCTTTTGCTATTTTTGTCAATCTAAAACTGCTTTGATAATAATGGGAATATAACTCTATCTTTATTTAAAGACACTATATAAATGTCAGCTAACAAAACAGATGACTCTGTAGCAGACAGTTTTTACACAAGGGACTTTCTTTTAAATACTAATTTCCCAAAATATCCTTTAAAAATACTACTGTTCAAAGTGTGCGGCTGGGCACAATGGTTTATGCCTGTAATCTCAGCACTTTGAGAGGCCAGGGCAGGCAGATCACTTGAGCTCAGGAGTTTGAGACCAGCCCGGTCAACGTGATGAAACTCCGTCTCTATTAAAAATACAAAAATTAGCCAGGCGTGGTGGAGTGCACCTGTAATCCCATCTGCTCGGGAGGTTGAGGCCTGAGAATCACTTGAATCCGGGAGCCAGAGGTTGCAGAGAGCAGAGAGCCCGCCACTGCATTCCAGCGTGGGTGACACAGCAAGATTCTGTCTCAAAAATAAATAAATAAATAAATAAAGTGTGGTCCATGGACCACCTGCATCAGAATCATCTGCGTCCCATCCCAAACCTAATGGATCTAAACCAGTGGAAGTGGAACTCAGGAAGCTGAATGTTTAATGAACACCTCAAGTGACTCCACCTGAAGGGTGAAAACCATTGCTTTTAGGAGTCATTCCACTACGGGTGACTAAGTGCCCATTGTCTACAGATGGGGTGGAGCGTGAGAGGTGAAGGAACTTGAATCTAAGGTGTTACTGGGATATTTCCAATTACAGGTGAATGACAAATAACTGCAATGCAAGTTAATAGTCATAGTCAGCTATATGAAAATTTGCATAAGATTTGCATAGACTTACATTTTAAAAATTAAGTTTACATACAATTTTAAAGACCATAATGATTGAGAATAGAGCGCTCATTACATTTTCAGGTTCTGTTCTAAGATGTAAATATATTAATTGTTTCACCTTTCAAAATCCTAACTAAGTAATTGCATCATCCCCATACAGAGAAAGAGGCTTACAAATGTTAAGTGACTCCTCAGTAAGTGCAGACCCAAGATTTGAACCCAGAAATCTGGTGCCAAAGCCCATGCCCTCAAACCCCATATCACAAAAACTAAATATAAAAAAGAATGGATTAGGGATAAAAGATAAAATTGCAAGTTCATAGAAATTTCTACCTTGGATGTTTTTTTCCTGATTTAGTCATTTCCAAGATAAACAGACATTGTGCTGGGTTGAAGACAGCATGAAATCACTGAACTAAGTCCAAGCCATGTTTTTCTATGACGGAAAACCCAGAGACTGTGAAGCCTACTTGAGCTGGTAGATGTTAGAGTTTAAACGGTCTTCCTAGTTTAGACACAGAAACTTTGTTTCAGTCCATCCCACGCTCTCCTGTCTCCACGCCCCCAACAAAGTTTCAAGATCTTTACCCTAAATTCCTTCACTCAGCACTTCAGCAGCAGGAGTCTAAGACCATGGCCAGCATTAAGTGCTGACAACGTTTTAAGCACTGGGGTGTCATAATTCATTCAGTCCTCACAACCCTATCATTTCTCCACATTTCACAGAAGAGGAATGTAAGGCCGAAAGGACATTGCCCAGGGTCCCAGAGCTGATAAGTGACAGGATCAAGAATCAAGTGGTCCCAGACATCCTGGCACCAAGCCCATGCCTTCAGCCATCTACTAAAACATCTCCCAGTTATTGAATGCCCACTGTATACCAGGTGCTTAACACAAACTAGCGGAGTCATTGCAAGTTTGCTCAAAAAGAGCTGCATTCCCTGCCCTGACCAACAAGGACACGAAGGCTCTGAGAGATTAAAGGTCTTGCCCAGAACACAAAACTAAGTAGAGCCCAGCCTGTCTCTTTGCGTCCAAAGCCTGTACTTTTCCAACACCACTACGATGCCTCCTGGGATTTTCATTAGCTATCCCCTCCCTAGAGGGAAGCATCATTACTACCACTTTACTGTTAAGCACATTCACAAGACAGAGCATGAAGATAACTATCTTCACGTTTAGGCAGTTGGTCTTCAAAACTGCTCTTCAAAACAGGGCCTGGAAAAGGGAGAAAAGGTCCACCTACTTGTATCTTCCTCCCACCGTGCAGGAACATGCTGGAAGCTAAACGGCTTAAATATTTAAATGGCATGTGTGTGAACAGCACTTCTACTTTATGACAGGGTCATGTTGTGCATTAGATCTCAATGCTATTTGTGTGAACCTGTTTCATACTTTTTAAAGACAAATTGCCTGTCTATTCATCATTTTATTGACATTTCATATTTGCAGGTTTTATTCGCCTGTGAGGTTAAGACATTTAAAACACAAATCCTGACAAACGCACAGACCAGCAACTCGAGGAACTCAGACGCTTTGGTTCTCGGTGCTGGCCACCTTTAAATGCTAAACCACCGGTAGTCACTAAACGGGAAAGTCGTGTTCTCCCCGTTTTCAGACGGGAAAAGCTGAGGCTTCCAGAAGTCTAGAACTCCTCTCAGATTGCCTTTCTCCCTGGATCAACCGGGAATGATGATAACAGCAGACTGCCCCCCACGCGTAGTAAGGAAAAAACCTTGTAATTATAATAACTTTTGGAGCTGCCTCAGAAATTAACGACGAACAGAAATCTGCACAATGAACAGGAACCAAGAAGAAAAACGCGGCTCCGCAGGACAAGTCCCGGGCACAGTTCTGCAGGAAGCCTCAGGCCAGATCAGGCACCGCGGCTCACACAGAGGTGACCCACAAGTGACCCACAGAGTGACCCACAAGTGACCCCAGACCCTCCGGTGGGGGCCTGGGCTGCGGTCGAAGGGGGCCCGGGCAGAAGCCCCGAGGCCGGGGCGGCGGAGGGAAGGGGGCGGCCGCGCCCGGGCCCCGGGTCCCCGCGGCTCCACTTACTTGCTCTGTAGAGTGGCCCCAGCTCTGCGCCTCTTCCTGCGACCCCACACACAGGGACAGCCCCAGGCACAGCCCCAGCAGCAGGAGCATGGCGGGGCGAGGGCGCGGGACGCTCGGGGACCCGGCGGGACGCGCTTTGCAGCGCCCAGGGCTCCTGCCACTGCGGGACGCGCTCGGGGCCGCCCACCCCACGGTCCCAGCCCGGACCCCGCCCACCCCGCGGTCCCCTCCTGGACCCCGCCCACCCCACGGTCCCAGTCCGGACCCCGCCCACCCCGCGGTCCCCTCCTGGACCCCGCCTACCCCGGTCCCAGCCCGGACCCTGCCCACCCCGCGGTCCCCTCCTGGACTCAACTCCCCCACCCCCAGCCCAGACCCCACCTCCCCGCCCCTCTAATCCGGGCCCCGCCTTCTCCACGCCCAGTCCCAATCCAGGCCCCTCATTTCCCGCCCGCGACCAGACCCTGCCTCCCTGGACCCCCACCTGGCCCAGGCCTCGCCTCCCTGGGCCCCGGTCAGGACCCAGTTTCCCCAGGTCCCCAAGCCCCGCCTCTCCACGCCCCCATTTCCCCCCACCTCCCCCGTCCCGGCCCCACCTCTCCTGTCCCCGTCCCCACCGAGGTCAACTTCCCGGACCCCACCTACCGCCACCCCCGTAAACCCGTCCCCGCCTCCCTGCGCGCCCCCACCCCAGGCCCCGCCTCCCTAGCCCCCACCCCGCCCGGGGCGCCGCCTTCCCCGCCTCAGTCCCATCACAGGCCGCGCCTCCCCCGCCCCCAACGCCGGGCTCGCTCTGTTCGGAGAGAAGGCACTCCAAGCCTGCCTCGCCGCGCACAGCAGGGGCCACCTGTGCTGTCCCCACAGACCCCCCACACACACCCCCTCCCATCCTGCGGCTGTGACACTTTGCTAAGGACCAGTCTCCTCTGTCAAGCCTCCTACTCCGTGTCTTGCCTCCCCCGCCCCGCAACTCTTTCTTCCTCTCCCTCAAGGTGCAAGATGTTTCTTTGTGGACTTGCTTAATTTCTGTCGCCAAAGGACGCGGGAAGGCCAGCCTGGCCCTCAGCACAGAGCCCACCCCGCACCTGCCAGCCTGAAGCCGGCAGATCGTCCCCTCTGCACTGGCCACGGACGCTTAGCAGGCAGGACAAAGGATGCTACCTGCAGTCTAGCGCAGGAGGGACTGGCAAGGCTGCCGGCCTTTATGTACTGGACTCACGAGAAAAAGACGAGACGAGGGAAGTGTCTTGGCAGCGTGTAGTGTTTCATAGTTTCTGGTTATTAATCATGAAAGTGAGTGCCATTATGTATCTTAGTTACAAACTATTGGTGATACTTCCATCCTGCCTTTGGGAGAGTTCTTATCCACAAGTCGTCTGCACTGGCCTTCTATAGGCTGAGTGCGTCTTTTTTATGTAGTGATACACATTGCAGTTGGGGCTACTTGTTCATTTCATCTTGCAAAGGATGTTTTTTATGTCTCTGTGACACTTTCATCTAAATGGATGAGGTGAGTGACAGACCTTAAGGACCAAAAACAGGGAAGTGGCTAACCTGGGACCATGGAATAGAGAATATTATTCCATGTAGGATAACTATGGGGCCGTTAAACAATCATTGCGACGTCTCCAGAAACATGGAGAATGTTGATAGTGTGATCTAAAGAGAAAATCACATCACCAAATCGTATCAACAGTATGATTGCAATTAGGTAGAAATACATATGAATAGACATAACTAGAAAAAAAAACATGAAAAATAAAAACAGTGGGTAGGTTAGTTTGTGGTGAGACCCTCGAAAACATTTATTATTGTTGAAATGCTGTTTGTTTAACAAATTAGGAGAGGTTAAAAACAAACACACACCTTGCTACTGTGAAATAAATGGAAGGAAAATTATTGTCATCAGCAGTTAATCCTTTAGTAGCCTAACCACTAGTCAGCATGCAACCAATAGGAAACAACTGTAGCTGGTTATTTTTCCCAGGAGAGGAAAGTAACTATTTGTGAACCGGAAGTTGAATGGACAAAACCAGGTTATTTGCAGTGGGGAACCATACAGCCGCCATTATTTCAATCCGTGATTGCAACAGAGCAGACTCCATCATCTTTCCTGCCCCACAGTCCCTCTCTCTTGAAATGTTGAAAGGGCCTATATTAAACTATTTTTGCCTTTATAGCTGATCTCTCTCTTTTTTTTTTTTCCAAATTCATACTAACTGGGTTTTACAGCAGTCTAACGTTAAGAAAAGTGACTTTTATTTTCTTCATCTGGGAGGACCCTCTGATTCTACCCTAGACTGCAGTGCTAATGTGTTGTTTGTTTAATAAAAAGCCAGTTTCTCCAATTGGATCAGTTCTTTGAGGACAAGCATCTCCCCCCAACTTCTAGTACTGTGCTAAATATATTGTTAGCACTTAACAGCCTTTTAATGAATGAGATTAGTAGATGGCAGGAATGAGTGTGGAAGGTAGAGCCAGGCTGTGCCAGGGAGGTGGGGCTGGGCTAGAGTGCAAACTTGACCGCTACCTAGCTGTATGACTTGTTAGAGTTTCTGAACTTCCTATTATTTTCAAGCTGTAATAGTTCAGTATTCTATGTGACATTTGTGTATCTGTATGATGATCTTTAAAATCTAGGTAGGTGTGATAAAAATAAGACCTAGTGAAAGTTTTCCAAGATTGCCAACAAACAAAGGCAGTGATTTATATCAGCCTTATAAAAAAGGGCCAAGGTGTCCCCACATACATTTGTCCTTTGATTCCACGTTTCTCATTTTACCTCCAGGAGGAGCTGAATTTCCGGTTACTGAACACATAAAATCTCAAAGCTAGAAAAGACCCTGCAGGATGTCTAGCTCAATTCATTCACCGGGACCATGTGCCATGAGTGACACATCACAGGGAAGGACCCTGGTGTTCACGGACAGGATCTAGATGCAGAGCTCAGTGACAAGGAATTCAGAGTCCAAAAATGAATAGGAGCTGTTTCTCCTGGGCCAGAGATGCTGCTCTGTCCACGCCACTTCTAGGAAATGATTCCCACAAGTAACTGAACGATGGGCCGAAGTATTCCGGAATCGTCGAATCACACTTCTGAGCTTTATCCCTTTATCCTGGTCTCCTACTGGAGACTACCAATGGATGGGCCCAAAATCATGGTCAAAACAACCATGACTGAAAGAGATTAAAGAGTTGAAAGCAGGCTGCATATTTGTTTTCTTTTAAACCTCTCCCTTGACTTTACATCCTGACACCCCATAGCTCCTAAATCCAGCTATGGTTAGAGTCAAGCCACCACCCAGTCCTTTGGTCTCCACCTCCTCTCCCTCTCCCATCCTCCCTTCTGAGCCTCTGTAAGGCCACTGTTCTATTCTGGGCCAGCTCTTTCTCCCCATCCTTGGTCTGCTCCTTTTTTATCTACTTATATGGCCTTGTGTGTTTCTCTTGGCCCCCTGACAACTATGTAGAATCGCTACGGTTTTTTACAACCTTGGCTTTTTTTTTTTTTTTTTCTCTTGATTAGAGGGGACTACTAGGGAGGAAATGGGTTCCTTTTGACTTTGACGTGATGATTTCTCAGAAGCCCAGTTCCAGCCTGTCAGGAGTCTAGATATACCCACTTTTCATCTGCTTCACCAAGCACTGAGTTTTGTCCACAGAGATTTGTGAAGGAAGAAATAGGGAATGCAGTTTTCAAATTTATGATTCGTGATTGCTGAACTCATCAACTGTTCACAAAATGTAACACTTACCATGTTTTAATTATTGGCTTGCAGATTTGAGAGCCAAATTAGACTCTGATTTCTTCATGGTCAAGGATTATGTCATTCTTGTTTTGACATCCTCAGGCTCTGACACATGGCCTGGAATACAGTAGACGTGCTGTATCTTTGGTGAATGAATGAAAAAATGTATATCTGCCATTATGTTACCCTGTGCTAGTTGTGTATGATATGACAAGTTTTAGACAGAGTCCATGACCTTGAAGAAGTTACCATTTAGATATGAAGATGGAGCTAACAAAATGGACAAAACTGGAACTCAATAGTGATTTTCTAAGAGGAGAAGGGACAAGATTGTGACTGTAGTTGTGGTCTGGAAGGCTTCATGAAGGACGTGGAAGTTAATATTTGCATGAATTTGATTTTGAAAGCCAAGTGGAGAAGAGAAAACATCAAGGAGACAGAGAAGGAGGGGGAACATGAGTGGAAAAGGCTTTGACATTGGGGAAAGAACAATATAAAATTCTGAGGTTCAAGTCTGGGCAGTTGCCTGTGGAATTTGGTGGGGGGTGGGGGCTGAAAAATGGGAAAGTGTAACACAGTGATCCCAAACACAAATCTGCCAGCCAGTGCAGATTCCTGACCCAATTTTCTCCATCTGCTTGTGGAAGGAGAAAACTGAAGTCATCATGTTATATTTCTTTCTTTTTTTTTTTTTTTGGAGACATGATCTCTGTCTCCCAGGCTGGAATGCAGTTGTGCGATCTCAGTTCACTGCAACCTCTGCTTCACGGGGTTAAGCTCAGCCTCAACCATGCCCGGCTAATTTTTGTATTTTCAGTAGAGAGGGGGTTTCACCATGTTGCCCAGGCTGGTCTCAAACTCCTGAGCTCAGGTGATCCGCCCACCTCAGCCTCCCAAAGTACTGGGATTACATGCGTGAGCCACCGTGCCCTGCCAACTTCTTACTTTAAAGAACTGTCCTTTGCTGTGCTCTAAGGTTTTTGTTACTCCTTCATCAATAACAATATTGATAACACTGCCTCACTGTGAGCCTGTGGGGTGGAGAGTGAAAAATGTATGTCCCTATGGGAGGTCTGTATATTGGGAAGGGGATGGTAAACCAAGATCTCAGGAAGACAGTGGAAAACCTGCTTAGCTGGGCATGGTGGCTCATTTCTGTAATCTTAGCTACTCAGGAGGCTGAGGGAGGAGGATCACTTGAGACCAGGAGTTTGAAACCAGCCTGAGCAACATAGCAAGACCGCTGTCAAGAAAGAAAAAAAGGAAGGAAGGAAGGAAGGAAAGAAGGAAGGAAGGAAGGAAGGAAAGAAGGAAGGAAGGAAGGAAGGGAGGGAGAGAGGGAGGGAGGGAGGGAGGGGGAAGGAAGGAGAGGGGCAGAGAGGGAGGGATGGAAAGAGAAAGAAAGAGAGAAGGAGGGAGGGAAGAAAAGAAAAAAGGAAGGGAGGGA